ATGAATCTTCAAAACCTGGAGGTTGTTCCACATACACTTCTTCTTTTATAAAACATTTAAAAATGCAATTTTAACATCCATTTGATATAATTTAAATTCATGAAAACATGCAAATGCTAATAACATTCTAATTGCTTACATCCTAGCTACGGGAGCGTATGTTTCATCACAGTCTATGCCCTCTTCTTGAGTATACCCTTGAGCAACAAGTCTAGTCTTGTTTATCACTATATTACCACTTTCATCAAGCTTATTTCTAAATACCCATTTAGTACCTACAGTAGATTTATTACTAGGCCTTTCAACTAATGTCCATACTCTGCTTCTCTCAAATTGATTTAACTCTTCTTGCATAGCCATAATTCAGTGATCATCATTTAATGCTTCTTTAATATTCTTAGACTTTATGCATGAAATAAATGCAACATAATTACATATATTTCTAAGAGAAGATCGAGTTGTTACCCCTTTGGATAGATCACCTATTATTTCACCATCTTTGACATAGTTGTATTCCCTTGGATAAGAGACTTCCCTTTCTTCAATGGTTGGATTCTCGAGAGGATCTTGAGTTTCCTCATCTTTCGTTTCTTCCTTTGATGATGGTTCTCCAACGTCATGTGCAACTTCATTTATGTTTATAATACCTATATCATCATTCACACAAGAATCTTTCCTAGGAAGGGAATTATCGTCAAAAACAACATGTATAGACTCTTATACAACTAAAGTTCTTTTATTAAATACTCGATAAGCTTTAGAATTTAAGAAATAACCCAGAAAAATTCCTTCATCATTGTTAGCATCAAATTTGCCAAGATTTTCTTTACCGTTGTTTAAAACAAAACATTTACATCCAAAAGGATGAAAATAGATAATGTTAGGCTTTTTATTTTTGAAAAGTTCATATGGAGTTTTCTTCAAAATAGGCCTAATTATTACTTGATTTATAACATAACAAGCGGTATTTGTGGCTTCCGCCCAAAAATATTTTGGCAAGTTGTTTTCACAAAGCATGGTTCTAGCCATTTATTCTAAAGTTCAATTTTTCCTCTCAACAACTCCATTTTGTTGAGGGGTTCTAGGTGCTGAAAAATTATGGCTAATACCATTAGAAATACAAAATTCAATAAATCCAAGATTTTCAAATTCAGTTCCATGATCACTCCTAACACTAGTTATAGAGTAACCTTTTTCGTTTTGGATTACTTTTGAAAACATGATGAATTTTTCTAATGCTTCATCTTTAGTACTTAAGAATAGAACCCAAGTATATCTAGAATAGTTATCTACCAATACAAATGCATATTGTTTTTCACCCAAGCTAGTAGTCCTAGATGGCCCAAAAAGATTTGAATGGATCAATTGTAATACTCTACTAGTGGATATGTCATTAATGAATTTAAAAGAAATTCGCTTTTGTTTTCCTTTAGTACAAGCATCACAGATTTTATCATTATCAAATTTTAGTTTAGGCAACCCTCGAACTAAATCTCCTTGAATTAGTCGTTGCAAAACACTCATGCTAATATGTCCTAGTCTCTTATGCCATAACCAACTATTATGCTCATCCTTAGCAACTAGGCATAACTTAGTCATATCAATAGAATCTAAATGCACCATGTATATGTCCCTATTATATGACCAACAAGCATAATCAAAATGGATGCAATGTCAATCAATTTTACAAACATTAATTTAAAATAAGACATTGTATCTTTTATTAAATTCATTTTTCAAAAGATTATGCTTTTAACCCATTCACAAATAAAACATTATGCAATGTCGATTATCGAGATTAAGAGTTTATGCATAAAGTTTTTGAAAATGTTATGTATTAAAACTTTATATTATTAAAAAAATCTATGCATAAACATTAAAAAAATTAAGGTCAAAATTTTGCAAAACCAAAGTTCTTGAAATATCGATATCAATTGTTAAAGAGATATCAATTACATTTAAAAAACAATTTTGACCAAAAATTAATATGATGAACTAGAGTTTATAAAACATTACCAAAAATTACTATGTTCATCATACAATATTTTTTAACATACATGAGATAAAACATAATCATTTAGAATTATTCAACATTTAAAACCTCATACATGCATAAACTAAATGAGCAACCAAATAAAATATTGATGTTAAGTTTAGAGGTTACTCATTCATTTTTCATGTGTGGCTAGAGCATCTTGAATATCATCATTTTCATCACAATTTGCTCCCACACACCTACAAGAGACATTTAAGTAGATTTTGGTATCCAAATTGCTTTCGATCCTTGAATGTTAGTTTCAATGCCTCTTGTTCCTTTTGGAACCCATACTTGTCTAATTTTAAATCGTTTTCCTTTCTTTAAAGGACAAGTATGTTCCTTATGACCATGATAATGACAATGTGAACATATTGTCATTATTGAACTAGATGAATTATTTAAAATGATCTATTTTTCTTTTGTTAAGCATTCAAGCTTAACTTTCAAATCGAAATTTTCTTTTTCAATACTTTCAAATTTCATTTTTGAAAGCTCTAAATCCTTCTTCAAGATTTCATTTTGATTTTCAAAATCCATTTTCGTTTCTAGAAGAATTTTGTTTAATTTGAAAATTTCTTTTTCTAAGTTTTCAGATTTCGTTTTTGAAAGCTCTAACTCCTTTCTCAACATTTCATTTTGATTTTCTAAATCTGTTTTAGCTTTCAAAAGAAGATCATTTTTAGCTATAAATTTAGAAATCAATTTATTGTATTTGGAGTTCATGGTCTCAAACTCCGAAAATAATTCATCATAAGCATCTTGTAACTCATTAAAAGATTTTGAATTTAATCTATTTGAGTTAGAAGATACCTTTGGCTCTGTGAGAGCTAATAGAGACATCACCTTTATTGGTTCTTCTTCTTCCTTGTCTCTGTAGATCTCCTCAAGCTTATCTCACATCTCCTTGGCATTTGAACAAGAAGAAACTCTTTTATATACATTAGGATCAATTGCAAAACACAACATGTGCATAGCCTTTGTATTTTGTTGAGCTTTCTTCTGTTCTTGATTACTCCACTTCTTTGTCTTCTTCGTAGGAGAAGAATATCCTTTCTCGATCATCATCCAAGCTTCCATATCAAATGCTTGGATAAATGTCATCATGAACTTCTTCCAACGACTATAATTTGTTCTATTGAAGTGTGGAGGCACGTCAATTGGTCTGGATTCTTCCATGGAGAATGAACCGAAAGTGAACGCCATCTTTATCGATTTAACTCTTCCCGAATCGACTCAAGAGGTGGTTAAACCTTCAAATGAGTGAGGCTCTGATACCAATTATTAAGTTAATCGATCGACGGAATAGGCCAAGAGGGGGGTGAATTGGCAATAAAAATTTTGGTAGAAGCTTTTGCAGAAAATTGAAAATATTTGCACAACGATTTAGAGTGATTCGACTTTCTCAACCAAAGTCTACGTCCACTACCTTAGCTATCCACACTAAGGATTTTCCACAAATTCACTAATTTGTTTTTCTTTTGAGGATAAAGAGTAACCTTGCAACTCCCTCAAGAATATACCCCAAATTCTTGAGAACATTCTCTCCCAAAGAGAAAAATACAAATTTTACAAACTTACAGAAATTGTCACAAGGAAAGATGTTTGCACAATTCTAGAACAAGAAAAGAACACTCAAGAATGAATACAATTGAGTACAAATGGTGTTCTTGAAAGCAAAACGATTATTGAAGGAAAATTGACTTGAATTACACAAACTTGGTGTTTGATGCTTTCTCTCTTGTTTCTCAATGATTTCTTCTTTCTTGTTGTTGATCAATTGCTTCTAAGCTTGTTTAAATACTCTTTCAATTGATTCTGAACGTTGGGGATCATTAGTGGAGTCAATGGAGCCGTTATTATGTGAAAACAATTAATAAAACAGTTTGGAGTGTGGGGGGAATCGGTACCCTCCGAGTAATATGTTATTTCTCGGAGCTAAAACCATTCAAGGGGAGTCGGTTCCCTCCTTGGGGGAATCGATACCCTCTGAGTAAGCTGTAAATTTTTGGCTTGAATAGTGCTCGAAATACTTTAAAATTGTTTCAAAATTATTTTAAGATTGAAACTTAATTTTTACACTTTAGTAAGGATTGAAATTGAACTTTGAAAGATTTAGAGTAATATTTTGATATTCAAATAGTTATATCGAATATACTTAGAAAATCATTTGTAAAATCTTAAAATTCTTTTAACTTAATTTGTTATATCGAAATATCAAAATGTTTTCAACAAACTGGATCGGTAGGATCACCGTCATGATGAACTTATATAGTACTTGATCTAAATTAATCAATAAGAATTCAGTAATCGATCTGAATTAATCAATAAAAACACAAACTTGATCTAAATTAATTAATAAAAAATAAAATAATAAATTGGGCGCTATAGTCTACAAGGTAGGTAAAATTGGCCCAATAGGTCAAGCGAGTAAAAAAAATTGGCTTATTAGACCATCTCCAAAATTAATTTAGAATTTACGATATTTGCTATAGTGACTTGGAACTCATAATGTCTTGTTTGTGATTTGCTGTAGATCCCAAAATAAAATCCGGGTTGGCTTTATGGGCTCATTTTTGTGCATGTTTGCCTTATTCGGCCAATTTTGCCCCAAATGGTAACTAACTTTTCTTATTTTCGGGTCCAACTATTTTTATGCTGTCTGCTCGGCTGTAATTGATTTGGATTTAAAAAACACTTACAATAATCAATGGATATACAAGAACAGAAGAGTGTTTTTTGTCTTCAAACGAGTTTAACCATATGAGAGCATCATTGCATTAGGAAGAAGGTGGTGTGTTCATAACTGTATCGATTAGTTTATAATCACATGTTCCTCGTTCCAGATCCAACATCATTCTTTTTAGGGATATACATAATCTTTTTGCTGGAAAGTTGTATTATATATAACACTCGAGCTTGAGCAGAACCATATGCTGCTAAGACAAGTTTCGGGAACCGGAGAATGGAAGGGAAAATGCTGGAGATGTTTGAAGTTGGTCCCTGTGAAGATGGCTTTCGGCTGGATTTTCTCATAGGTCAAAGGTTCTGTAACCAAATACGAAGCAGGTTGGCCGGAGACTTCATTCTTCGAAACCAGCTCCTTCCTTTTGCTCAAACGCCACAAGCACAACAGCTGATCGAAGCACTCTCGGAGACTAACCGGAAGAAGTTCCCAAGATACTGGGATGAACTTTTACGGACTGCTGAAAGAAGTGGCGTGCCGGTTCTTGATGTAGTTATTGCAAATTGCTCATTTGATCAATACACTCCTCTTTTGAAACTGTCTCATTATGTTCCTTCATGTGTAGATAATACTTGTCAACTTCAGAAAGGAATTACTCCCATTCATTCCAAATGCAGAAATGAATTCATTTGCCGATACTGCGGATGACTGTTCTGACGTTCTCATCGTCAGCGATTTGATGACCATAGCAGCTCACAACGAGGATGCAATCTTTTGTTTAATCGGCAACACGTATGCTTTAGTTTCATGTATCCTGTTCAGATTCTAGGACAGTACAATACGTAGGATGGATGGATGGATGTTCTTAACATGTACCATGTCAATGCTGGGTTTTGCAGCTACTTGATCAAGGGAAAACTGTCAAATGGATTATCCTTCATAGCTTACACATATGCAGAAGAGCTTCTGACTTGTGCTTTCGGATTTATCCGTCAAGGACCGATAAAATTTCTTTCATGATTGTTTAAAAGAAAAGAAAATAAGGGTCTTTTGTTTCACTGAAAACGTTTTCCGTAAAATGAATTACATTTTCTGAAAAATGTTTTACGATATTTTGAAATATGTTGTTTAAATCTTTTTTCACTAGTTGATGATTTTTTTAAAAATTATTTATTACAAATATTAAATACAAGAAATAATATTATTTATCATAAAAATTAATATTATTATTTTTAAAATATTAAAATAATTTATTTATTATTAAATATTATTTTTATAATTTTATTAATAAAAATATTAATGTTGGTATATTTTATTGAAACAAAAATATTATAAATTATATTAATTATTTATTAAAGTAATAGTGTTATATTATATTTTAAAAATATTAATTAGTATATTTTAAATATATTTATTAAAATATTATTAGATTATTATATTAAATATATAAATAATATTATTCATTATTAATAATTTAATAATATTTTTTCTATGAAATTAATAATAATATAAATTTTATTAACAAATTATTATATTATTAAAATAAAAATATAATATCTTATATTATTATATAATTGATTATTTTATTATAATATTAAAATATTATTATATTATTAGAAATATTAATAAATATATTTTAAATATTTTAATAATTAATATTTTAATTAAAATGATATTAAAATATTTTATTAATATTAAATTAATAAAATAAAATTATTTTGAGTATTTATTCTTTGAAGTGAAAAGTTCAGAAAACGACTTATAGAAAATCAGACTGTAAGTCATTTTTCAGAAAACATAAAGGAAATTCTATTGACCAGGAAAATGTTTTACGTTGACCAACCAGTTTTCGTCTTACCAAACACTGGAAAATGAGGAAAACATTTTCCGGAAAACGTTTTACGTAAAACAAATGGACCCTAAGATTACTATATTCAATGAAATCTAATATTTTCATCATACATACCTTAGGCATTCACACAGAACGAAGTACAGACGACTGAAGGTGATATTGTACCAGCAGGCATTGGAAGGAACTTTGTCTCTAGATACCTTCTTGAAGCAACTAGCATTGCAGATGCATTAGTTGTAAAACCTTCTAATCATCTAATGTTTGTTTCTTGTATCAGATGAAATTTAGGATCAGCTTGATCATTTAATCTACTAATATAAGAGAGTTTATCTCAGAGAATACATTCATTCGAAGTTTCGCTGGGACACAATTACAATTTAATCGATATACAGAGGCGAATGATCTTGAATGTTGAAACTGCATCAGATATCGAGTTTCAGTTCATGAGGTTGGATCAACATCATTTTTCAAGGCAAACATGTATCTCCATCTTCAGGTTGAGCAGGTAGAAGATGAAAACTCATAAGAAGGCAAAAAGAGCAGCTGTTCCACTAAAGGATCAAAAGCCGATGCGTTGTCACTCTTAGGAGATACAGAAGATCCAAAATACCCCATCTACATACAAGACAGGTAAAAGTTGAAGAACAGAAATGTAGAGCAGCTTCTATACCATGTTGACTAACTTACCCGTTTTGATGTTGCTTTCAGGTCCACATCTTTATACTCTGCACGACTGTCATTGATTTGGATGAAAAAAACATTTACAATAATGGAAGGAAATCCAAAGAAGGGGAAGATTTCTCATGTCTTCTCGATGTCTTCAAACGAGTTTAACTGCGAATTGGTCAACTCTGGTGCACGGACTTGTCTCTAGAACATTTTATGCTGATTCATAGAGTCCAACTATGCAACCCTTTTTATTCAGTTGCGTTGCTTGAGAGATATTCTCCACTCCTTAATTCTCCGACTTTAGCCTTAGTCCCTAGCTACCAGAATTTCCTTGCACCACTATGTCAGGGCAAGAGCACCTCACCACCACCATAATTGTCAAGCCAAGTGTGACATTTAGCACATTAGCACCGATACTCTTTACAGCGAGATTTATAAATGGCTACTGAGCTGAATCTCAATTTTCTTTTTGGCCAATCAACTTACAAGGAATAGCAGTTCAAAATCTTTAATATGACAAATGCAGACGAATATGAAATATATTCTTGTTAGTACCATAAATTAACCATTACTTTGAAACTAAAACCAATGTTTTGCAATAAAGGTGCATGATGAAAACTCAATAAGCAGACAGAAAGAGCAGCTGTTCTACCACAAGGATCAAAAACCAATTTCTTGTCTCTCCTAGGAGATATAGAAGATTCAAAGTACCCCATCTACATGACAGGTAAAAGTTGAAGGATGGAAATGTAGAGCAGCTTCTATTCAACGGTAACTAACTTATCGTTATCGTTATTACTTTCAGGTCCAACTCTTTATACACTCTGCACAGCAGTCATTGATTTGGATGAAAAAACTCTTACAGTAATTGAAGGAAATCCAAAGAAGGGGAAAATTTCGCACGGCTTCTCGATGTCTTTAAATGAGTTTAACCGTGAATCGGTCAACTCCGATGAAGGGACTTGTTCTCCAGAATATTTATGCTGGTTCATAGAGGCCAACCATGTGACCGTCGATACAACGCATGGCAGCAACCTGAATATAAGGAACAACTTCAGATTGATAACTTCAGTTCAGTATGAAGCTAAGCAAAATAACATCAGGATGAAGAAATTATGGAATCAATACCTTGCCATGGATTTCATATTTGATGGGACCATCTAGTTCAGCTCCTAATGCCATTAATTTTGTTACTGTACTATTAATGTCATTCACTGTGAACGATAAAACTGAAGAGTGGCCATTCTGCATCACATTATCACTGTCAAACAAAACTGGGTCAGAATTATCTATTTTAAACTCACAATTTCCTCTTTCTTTCTTTATTTTTCATGGGAAATTGTATACTTATAAAAGCTAAGAAAATCTGGGACGACCCAAAATCTTATTTATTTTGTGTATTTTCTAATCATCAAAGAAATTTAATAAATTAAACTGTAAAAGTATTACCAGGGGGATTGCATGAGAGCAAGCTTAAGAGGACCAGACTGGAGCTCGGCCCACCGAAGCGTGCAGATGTTGACGGAGAAGTCGAGCCCTTGTGAGTAGAACTTCGCCGCCTTGGGAACGTCCTTGTGGAGTTGGAGCAACCACCTAAACGCCGCCGCCGCCGCCATCACCTTCCTCTCTTTCAAATTCTTTAAATGGCTCAGCCCAAAACACCCAATGCCATCTTGTCGATGCATTTTAAAGCTTCCATAAGGCCCAGGCCCAGACCCCACTTACCAAGATGGAAAACAACAGTCCGAGAGGGGTTTTGTATGTAAAATCTTAGTGCAGAAGGCATGGATGATGACATGGTCGGAAAAATTCCTTGGGATAAAATAGAGTAGATCAAAATAGGACCCAAACTTGATATGATTCATAACTATACTGTGATATTAATTTCTAAAATATATACACACACAAAACAAAATTATCCTGGGGATGAAGCTTCTTCTAGCTTCATCTGCATCCGCTCGTCAAGGCATGATTCAGATATACGAAGAATCAAACTATCATGGTCAGTCACTCCCGTCCAATCTTCATCAGATTTCCTCTAGCTTTTGATTTCTGTTTTACTTGTACAGTTAGTACCATTTTCAGTAGGAAGAAAAGAAAATTTACCTCCATTGAACTTTGATAACTCGCATGCGATACAGGCTGTAGGGCTTGATAATTTTTTTTCAATATATCGATGGTGTTTCATCAGTGTTTGAGCAATCTGCCTCCTCAAACTGTTTGAACTCTCTGTCTGATTGTAAGAAATAGAACAGAAAGTTGGAGACAGGATTAAAAATTATTATTTTTCCCAATCAAACAGGAAAGAAGGACATTACAAACATATAATCAAACCTAACAAACAAGAAACACTCTTAACTCTCTAAGGAACAACAAAAACAGAGTAAATATTTAAGCAGAAGGATCAAATAACCAATATGGATAATATGAGGACAGAAAAATGTAGTTTTATCAATACATTAATTGTAAAGGACTGTTGTAATGATGGAGTGCCTGAGGGTAGTGAAGTTTCCATGAAAGAAGTGGGGTAGAGGGGCCCTCTGTTTTTCTATTCCCTACCAATAATACCCTCCGACTGAATTTTTCCTCCTTTTCTGCTAACCCTTCTTCACTTTTTTCCTCTTTTTCCATCTCTCTCCTTGGTCTTCACTAGTGTTTATATAAACTACTATTATTTTCTTTTCTTTTTACTGTTTTTTTTTTTGCCACTGGGTCTGGTTTCTACTTCTAGAGTGAAAGTTTGTTCTTCTTGGATAGTTTTATTTTTCTTTTTCCTATTCATTTACTCTGATTTTGGGTTCTTCTTTCTTAAGAATTAGTACTGTGATCGATCTTCCACGGAAGCATCGACAAACAAAAAAAAGTTTCAAGATTTAGGAATTGATTGGATTGCCTGTCAAGCATTTTAGTTGGGCAACCGCCAAATTGTCATTTGCAAGAAACTTGTGAATGAAAAAGCTTTGATTCCTAGTGATTTCCTGGGTTTTTTAATTCATGGATTAAAGAAGAAAATACATCCTCAATTTTACAGAATTGACACTTTTTATTAAATGGATACATGTTCTGTTATGCATGCTTACGCAACATATTCAATCAACAAACATAGTATCAACGGACTTAAAAACCACACAAATATTTACAGCTAAAGTTGTAATGGACCCAAAGTTCATCTGATTCGTAACTATACTGCGATATTAATTAATAAAATATACAGACAACAACAACAACAAAAATTCTATCACAGATTGCAACATGGCCAGTATTCATATAAAACACAATGTTGGACTGAAAAGCAACGCAAACAGCTAGTTAATCCAGTTGGTCACGTGAATTCTTCAGCTTATTGTTCAAAGTACAAACAACCACTTTGATCTACGACTTGCCCTTGAAGATTTTTAAACGAGAACGTTGCCCTTTGGACCTTGCTTCAAGAAGCTTCGCCTTCAAAGTGTTATCCTTAGTTGCTGGGGGTAGCTTCACAGAAGACTCAGATACGTCCAGATCAGGGGGTGTAAATTTCGTCATCCATAGCCGCACCGGGCTAGGTTGATTCCTCGGTGGTGGGTAGCTACAAGAAGCCTCACCATAGTTGTTTTCCACGTTCATATTCCCACCTTCCGACAATGCTATATGATTTCTTATCAAGTTGTCCACTATGTATTTGAGCTTAGTCCATGAATCTCATCAAGCTTATTATTTCTTCCCTCGTTGCCATATTGTGTAGCTTCATCATTTTCAAGTTTTTGCGATATTGTTGCTTCAGTGGCATTTCCTACTATATTTTCTTCTTCTGCATCTGCCAACTGGGACATCTTATTTTCATTACTCATGGCTCTGGCCATCTTTTCTTCAAACCTAACTTGTAAGCTGGATGGATGTCTGCTTTTAATCTTCTCATGAGATGAAAGTTTTCTCTCAGCGTGATTTGACTTCATTATTTCCTCACCGTCACGGTTTAGAGCTTCATCTTCATGTGATTTCAGGTCAACACTGCTTGGTTTGTTCAACTCAAAACAATTTGAATCACTGCTAACAGAATCTTCCTCATGACAAACATCTTTACCTACACTTGCAGCTTCATTTGAAGGGATGGATTCAAGTGACTTCCTTCGATCCTTTTGTGACAAATAATCAGTACGCTTACAAACAGAAGTACTAATCTGTTTAACTTGAAGGAAAGTCTCTATTTCAAAGGCTAATTTGTCCACTATTGAATTCAGTTCGGGAAAACCAGACTGAGCTTCTTCTAGTTTCATCTGCATCCGCTCGTCAAGCCATGATTCGGATATATGAAGAATCGAACGATCATGGTCAGCCACTCCTGTCCAATCTTCATCAGATTTCTGTCGTAGTGTATGCAAGTCCAGTTCGTAGTTTTTTATGCCCCTTGCAAACTCATCGCAAAGATCTTCCAAAAGCTTCCTCGATTTCCTTTCCCTTTCAAGATCTTTCAAGGCATTAGAAAGAGAAGCTTTTGACTCAGACACTTCCCGAGCTAACTTCCTGTGTAGATTTTCGGATCGTTTTCTTAACTTCCTCTCATCTTCTAGTTCATCCCTTGCCGACTGTACAGCAGCATGAACTCGGTCCTGTTCTTTGCTCTTCCTAGCCAATTTGTCTTCAGCAATCTGCTTCATCAAATCATCAATTTCAAGTCGACATGCTTGCTGGTCTCGAAGCAAATCCTTGATTCTAACACGGGCATGATCTAGTTCCTTCTTCAATGCTTTTATCAATGATATATTGGATGCATGTTGTTCTTCCAGACTCCAAATATGGTTTAGTACTTTCAGCAGTTCTGTAGATGTTTTGAGATTATAATGCAACTCACCGATTCTTCCCCTAAAACTTACGGAACTGCTAGGTGTGACTGCAGGATTATATGGTGCCACCTGAAAAAAGAGGAAAAACATTTTGAAGCTCTAGATGTACTGGAATGTGAAAACCCAAGTGAGAAAGACCTAAAAACAAACAATACAAGGAGGGATTCCAAAGGAGGATCTTATTTGAGAAAGCATTCCCATGTTCAATTTTCGCACTGTTTTTTTTATTAATATCAATGTGTAAGAAATCCTACTTGAAAATGCTTTTCATGATGCTTGTTATCTCAAATAAAACCCAACAGTCCTTCTAACTCAATTCTCAAATGTTTTCCTAAGACGAGCACGCTATATATTCTATGGAATAAACATTAAGACATCATGAACACCCAGCTACACAACTTATCAACTTAGAACCTAACTCAATAACAAAAAGAATTAAATTTTAGTTAGAGACTAGGGGATAATAGTAGGATTACAACCAATATGGTCACAAGGCTCAAGCTTGTCCCCATACACAAGACTCCTAACAATCATTCTTCGCTTAGCTCCAAGTCGAGTGGCTTCAATTGAAGAATCAATTTAAGAAAGAATTCTATCCGTTCAGCTTGGGGGCTTTGTGACTCTATGTTTCTTATATAAGTAGGTATACTAAAGTAGCAGCAATTCTGCACCTTGGATAAATAAATCTTCTTTTTATCCAGAAATAAAAATCAGAAAAAGAAAACTGCCTTCCCTATTCTGTACTTACTCTACAGATGACACCATTTTCAGTATGAAGAAAATAAAATTTACCTCCATTGAACTACCATAACTTGCAGGCGATACAGGCTGTAGGGCCTGATTACTTTTTTCAATTGACCGATGGTGTTTCATTAGTGTTTGAGCAATATGCCTCCTCAAACTGCTTGAACTCTCTGGCTGATATAAGAAATAAAACAGAAAGTTAGTGACAGAAGGTACTTTTACAAGCTCTGGTAAGTGATAACCCTTAAAGCTCTGTTCTTATACAAGCGGTTGAAGACATTGTCCTGAAGCCACCAAAGACTAGATTAAATCAACTAATACACTAATAATCATCAATTAAATGATTCTCATTCCTCGTTGTAAGACAATTTAGCTCCATTAGTTTCGAACTCGTTTAAAACGCTTTACAATTTTTTCTTTTCAATCAAACTGAAAGAAGGACATTACAAACATATAATCTAACCCAACAAACAAGAAATACTCTATGGACCAAAAAACGACAGTAAAAATTTAGGCAGAAGAATGATCAAATAACCAATTTAGGCAGAAGAAATGTGGTTTAATCAACATAAACCGTAAACATAATCTCAACCCAGTTAAAAGAAATGAATAAGCCATGTCACCATTTACCAAATACAAGACCCAAAATTCCAGATCAATCAACATCGAACTCACTAACTAATAGATCAAAAAAATTTTTAAAAAAAACTTTAAAAGGGAAAATTATCATACGGGTACAACAGAACACATACATAGCTTATATACATAGACAAAAGTAAAGTACGGAGGAAAGAGAAAGGAATCGGAATACCTGGTCAGGGTCGGAGCTGGGGCAAGGATCAGCCAAGAAATGAGAATAGTCGATGGCTTTGTTCTTGTTGTGGTGGAGGCGTTGAGTGTAGCGGCCATTAGTGTTGTTAACACCGCCTCTATGCATTTTGAAGTTATGAGGACGATGGGAAAGGTATTGATGGAACTCCCACAGTGAAGCAGCTAACTTTCTTGCAGAAACAGCGGCAGGAGGAGGAAGAAGGCTGTTGTTATGATGAAGATGAGACTGAGGGTCGTAAAGTTTCCAAGAAGGG